CAAAACGTCAGAGGTAAACAATGGTATCTTACTGTGATTTGGTTTTCCAGATCACTTGTAAATATGAATACTTCTTTTTTCTCCTTTTCCTTTCTTATTCTTCTAGTTCCTGAGAATTTTTTTTTTTTAACGTAGAATAGTTACAACTTTCTGGACCTTAAGACTTTTGTAGAAGGCATGATAGTGACCTCTGGTATTCCTTTCCAGGGTGCTGCTGCAAATGCCATTTATAATTCCCTGCTTTTGCTATAACTCTTTACTTTCCATATTATTCTCTTTGGATTCTTATTTTTGGATCCTGCTATAGAATCCTTGTCTTCAGGCCAGACATGGTAACGGCAGGGCCTGAGGAGGCCCCTGCTTCACAGGCAGTAGTACTAGAAGGCGCCAGCAGGTGGCAGGCAGGGCACCAGAGGCACCCTGCGCCTTTGTATGCGCTTCTGTGGGGAGCGGCCAGAATGGAGCCTTTGGACTGTTCCCAGTGACTTGACCTCCCAGCAATGTGCTCGGCTGAATGTGGGGTGGGGTGCCCAATCCTTCCCTCCCACCTAGTTTTGTTGCCATTTCTTATATGGATAAGCAGTTTTAAGATCACCAGCTGGTGACTTGAGAGGAGCATTAAGAGGCCACACCCGGAGGTGACAACCTGGGGCCTCTTCCCCTTCAGGAACTAGCTGGAAGGATTTACATGCCTAGCCTGGATGGCTCGGGTTTCCTTAATTGTAGGGCCCTACTTCCTGCCTGTTTCAGCCAAATCTCCCACACCCTTCCCATGAACTGGGAGGTCCCCAGAACAGGCTCTTACGCCCCTTCGCTCTACCTACTCTGTTATGGTCTAGAAAGAAGATGAGCCAGAGTTTTGAGAAGCTGTGGGGCGAAAGTACTAGGGTCCTTGGGCTGTCTTCTTTTGGGGAGGAGCCCCCAGGGACCAGCTGGACCCCAGGCTCGGGCAGATGGCACAGCTTCCCTTTCCTCACCTCCTAGATAAGTGCCCCCGAACCCTATTCTCGCTGTGGCTCACTCTCTTTTGGTACAGTCCTGCCCAGCATCTCCCTCTTGGTGGAGGTCTTGCTCTTCTGTGTAGAGGAGACAAATTGACTTTTCCAGGAGATTGGGGGGAGGGGGGAAGGGAGGGCAGAGAACTTCTGGTGGGAAGAGGAAGGAAGTGATAGCTGCTATGATAAGAGCTGGCCTCTTCCCAAGTGCTACCTGTCCTCTCCCCTCCTAGGAGACTGCAGTGTTTGTTTGGGGTGTTAGGACTTGGGGGCTGGTGCTTGGGAAAACTCCTTCCCTGCAGCCCCAAAGTTCTGCTGTTAGTTTAGGTCTTTACATCTTCAGGGACCTCTGGGTTTTCCCCCAGTCTAGAGCAGTGGGATGGGGATTGAGAGGGCCGGATGTCTAGTGCAAGGATATTTCATCCCTTTGTGAGCTGCTGTGTAATCTGCCCGGGAGGCTGGAGGTTTCCTGAGCATAGGGCAGCCCTAGTCATCTTGGCTTCACCCCAGAGAGGTTAACCAGGGTGTGTGTGTGTGTGTGATGGAACTTGCAAGAAAGCCGAGGGTTAGGCCCCTGCTGGTGAAGCCACAGGGTTGGGAGGACGTGGGGGTGTGGGGAAGAGCAGGCGGGAGGCTGTCCTCTGTCAGCTGCCCAGGGTCATTTCCCAACAGTGTAGGAATTTGCATACTCACTAGTTTCCCCATCAGCTTGTTGGCTCCAGGAACAAGGAAAACAAGAAGAGGAAAGAGCAAGTGGGGCAGCTGCCCGGAGTTTGATCCAGCACCCCTAGGTGGCCTGAGCTTTAGGCTCAGAGATCACATTCTGTCCCTGTCACTCCCCCACCCCCCACCCTGAGGCTCACACAGGGAACTTGGGTAGGCCAGGAAACTGAGGCTTTGAGAGGGAAAGTGAGTTGTCCAAGGCTACACAGCTAGTGAATGGGGCTTGAATCCAGGCCTCCTCCCTCTCCTGCTGTCTGCCTCTGAACTGAGGCATTCTCTCATCAAATCTAGAAAGTGGCAAGGACCAGTGTGTCACTTTTATAGGTGGGGAGACTGAGGCCCTGTGAGTGAATGCCACCTACCTAAGCTGCTTGAGTGGGTGGTGGGGAGAACTTGGGAGTTAAAACTCAAGTCGTGGGGAAGAAACAGCCCAGTAGTCTCTGAGTATCTCTGCCCAGAGGCCAGACTGAAGATTGAGAAAGAGGCCTGGAGGGGAGCCTCCAAGCCCTGAATGGCAGGTCCAGCCAGGAGAAGGCTGCCGGGAAAACACAGGACAAGCCCAGGCCGGCAGTAGTGCAGTAGTACTGAACTCACTCAGTCCCCAGAGCCCAGCACCCGCCACATGGCTCTGCTGTCCTTATTGGAGCCTGTCAGTGGACCAGCTGGGCCAGACGTGACCTCCAGACATTAGCCACAACCAGCCAGGACCTGTTGCCCACTGCCCATGTGTCTGTAGGATGACCTCTCCTTCCCCCCAGAAGCAGAAACAGCAAATGACCAAGAATGAACTCTCAAGTGTATGGCCAGCTGGCAGGCAGGGTGGGAAGAGGGGTGAGAACACTCCCCATTTGTAGACTATGACCTGAGGCCTCAAGGCCTCCGAGCCCCACTGTGGTGGGCAGAGATGGGGCTTGGTGGGTGGGGCTGTGGGGCCCTTGCCCCTGAGCAGTTGGGGGGGTTGGTCACTTCAGCTGCTGTGCTGGCAGGATTCCCATATGAATGTTGTAAACCTCAGAGTTGAGGGGGTGGTAGGGACTCCCTCATCTCTGCAGGGGTCTTAGTTGCTGCAAACTAATGTCCAGGGGTCTGCCCTCCCTCAAATTTGGGGGCCAGGGCACTAGGACTCAAGGCCCTGCCCCAGTCTTTCCTTCCTCTGTGGGTCCTTGGGCAAGTCACTTAGCATTGTCAAGTGGCTGATAGTTGAACTGGACAGTTTGAGACTTTAGCTTCCTGTCCCATAAAAACCAACGAGGCTCATATATAGCCTTTTGATCCAGAATACAGTTCTTGATTGGAAAAGTATTTATAAATAAGGCAGTGACATTTCTTTGTGCAGATAAGACCTGAGGAGACTGAGAGCAGCAGGCATAAGTCACTTTGAATACTGTGGGAGGGGGTTTCAGGTAATGTTTGCTGAAATCATTTTCATATTGTGCACTGATTCCTGCCTTAAGTGTAGACTTCTAAAGAATGGACAGGGTAAAGAATGAGGTGGGGGCCTCATGTACCGGGGATCACCAACGTGGCATTTTTTTTGCAACATGCTGTAGAGCTGGTCTGTGTTAAAAAATGTTACAGATAGAGGCCAGGCGTGATGGCTCACAAATTTGAGACCAGCCTGATTGAGAGTGAGATGTCTCCTCTGAAAATAGAAAAGCTAGCCAGGCATAGTAGTGGTGCATGCCAATAGTCCCAGCTACTCAGGAGGCTTAGGCAAGAGGATTGCTTGAGCCCAAGAGTTTGAAGTCGCTGTCATGAGGCCACGACATTCTACCCAGGGAGACAGAGTGAGACTCAAGAAAAAAAGTTACAGATATAAAAGCTTATATAATACTAAGCAATAAGTACAAATCAGGTGAGATGTTTAAAGATATAATCAATACTATTTTCTTCCCATTTTCTCAGTGTTTGCAGTTTATCTGATAAGCTACTTTTTCATTTAAAATTAACATTCACACATCATTTTTCTTTTCTTTTTTTTTGAGACAGAGTCTTACTGTGTCACCCTCGGTAGAGTGCTGTGCTATCATAGCTCACAGCAACCTCAAACTCTTGGGCTTAGCAATTCTCTTGCCTCAGCCTCTCAGGTAGCTGGGACTATAGGCGCTCACACAACAGCTATTTTTATTGTTGCAGTTGTCATTGTTTAGCTAGCCTGGCCCGTGTTCCAACCCACCAGCCCTGGTATATGTGGCCAGCACCCGAACCGCTGAACTACAGGCACCGAGCCACACACACCATTTTTCATCTTAAAAGAACTATCTATTCCTGCCTGGCTTCTTTCCTTTTAGGGTCAGATGAGAAATTTGAGATGGCCGATGGAGGTAAAACCCTGTGAACACAGCCCACAGGGAGGGACACCCGAGGCCTCTCAGTGAGCCCTTGTGCCAGGCGGCAGGTCACACACACACTACAGACCCAGTTATTTCATGTGTTCCTTAATGATGACCCTTAAGGTAGGTACTGTCATTTATCCTCATTTCATAGATGAGGAACTTGAGACTTAGACAGGGACAATCTCTTGCCCCAGGTGACATAATCAGTAGCAGAGCCAGTTCCTGAATTTGGGAGCAGAGCCTCTAACCTCCTAGAGCAGTGTTCCAACTGTTTCTATCTCATGGCACGCTTGAACCTATAAACTCCCATAGAACACTTAAATTATGTTGATAAAAAAAAGAGTAAGAAAAAGAACATACTTATTGTGCTTTGAACTTCCTTTGAAAATAATCTAATGATCTTCAGAAATTTTCATGGCACACAGGTTGAAAACCACTGGTTTAGCGGGTACCCTGGTGTTGTCTTCCAGGCTGTTTCTGCCCTGCTGCCCCCTCCCCCACTCTGCTGTCCTGGCCTGGGACCAGTATCTGGGAGGACAGGCCAGAGCTCAACACCCAGGGGCTCTCCCTATGCCCACTCCAACCTCTCCCAGAAGCCATCCTCTCAGCCAGGTCACAGCATAAAAGAGGGGAACAGACCACCCCAGTCCTCTCTCTTGCTGCAGCCACAGAACTCCAAGCCCTTGTCATGTTTTCTCCCACTGCCCAAGCTCCTCTGTCTGGGTGTCCATAGCCTCCTAGCAAGGCCCAGACAAGGCCTGCGGCGAGTCCCAAAGGGACTGAACATTCTTGGTGAAACTTGGATAACTTCCTTCCAGAGGAGGGTCAGAACTGGCATGGAGTGGCTAACCTCAGGACAAAGACAGGTCAGGCGTATACACCTGCTGGCTGTCCATCACCCAGAGGCCAGCTCAACAGATAGTCACCTCTTACAAGGGCTCACCTTGCTTGTACTTTATTGATGTTACAGACATTCCACTTAAAACATTGAAAATTTGTACCTTGCATAAACATATACATATGCCCCCATCCTTGGAGATGGGTGAGATGACTCTGAGTACAGAGTTAGGGAGAGAATGAAGGGTAGAGACAGAGGGCCTCTGACCCTCAGCAGGGGCAATGGGACAGGTGAATAGAGGGGTGGAAGGTGGGTTATTAAGAAGCATCTTGCTTACTAACATGAAGCCTTGTGCCCAGCAGGAACACGCAGGAGGCCTCATTGGTGTAGGGGGCCCTTGGAGGGCAGGCACATGGTGCCCAACTAGCCAGCCCAGGCTGGCATCCCGGGGGTAGAGTGGAGGTAGGGGGTGGCACACAGGGTCCGCAGCCCAGGTCTCTGCTCCCCCCACCCCCTCTCCATCTTCCGAGAGAAAAGCGGGTTTGGGCCTCAGCCACGGACCGACGCCATCACTGGCAGCGTCTCCTTAAACTACAGAGATACAATGTGCATCAACAGGGTGATCACTTCTGACCCACTTAGGCCGACGGCTAGGGGGCTGCATGGGCCAGAACCAATCCTACAGTATCTTTGGTTTGTGGGTTCCCTCCTTACTTTACTCCTCCCTCTGTCCAGCCTCCAGGGTAAGCCTCGGGGCTGCTTGAGGTTTATTCATTGGGGTGCTGGGACTTGTAGGAGAGGATTTCGGCAGCCAGCTGCTGGGGGTCCAGGAGCTGTGGGAAGCGCCCCATCACAGCCTTCACCAGGTGTGGGGGGAAGACACCACACAGCTTGGTGTACACACTGGCTTGCTCCTTGGCCAGGCTGCCTGCCCTCCCCCATGGGCCCCTGCCAGCCCCTGGGCTTAGCACCTGGGGATCCTGAAGGACTTGGGTGGGTGGTGGCAGTGGGTACGGCTCAGACCAGTATTCTCGAGGTGGAAAGGCCGGTGGCCGGGGTGTGTAGTCGGCAGGGACACTGAAGTGGCCAGCACCCACGGCCTGTCCAAAGGCGGAAAAGGCTGGAGTAGCTGGAAGCTCAGATCCATAGGGGGTGTAGCCAGCATAAGGGCCCTGGGATGGGCCCGGCTCACCAGGGCTTCCTCCTCGAATCCCCCACAGTTCTGACATCTGGCTCTCCAGGGAGCCAATGCCAGAATCCAGGCAATCCTGGGAGGTATATGGGAGTGAGTCCAGGGTCTGTGGGAACCAGTCCATGGGCCCAAAGCTGCTGCCACTGCCCCCACTAGGTGGGTGGCTCCTGCCCGATGGAGTGAAGGTCTGTGCTGGACCTTCCCGGCGGGGCGCTGTGGATGCTCGAGCCCCCATCTTCTTCCCATCCAGGCTGCACGGCTCACTCTCTGTAGTTACAGAGTCGGACTGAGATGAAGGTGAAGACCGCTGGCCACTTTTGTCCTTGCCCAGGGCCCGTGGGGGTGAGAGGAGGGCATTGGCACGGAGCTCATCAGCCACAGAGCGCTGGGGGCGGCTTGGCCGCTCTGGGTGGAAGAATCGGCACTTGATCCCATAGGTGCATTTCCTCCCTAGAGGAGGAATGAAGAGGGACCCCTAAGCAGGGGGCTCCAGAACCAGGGGCCAACACGGGGAAGGGGTAGCATGGAAAACAGGCCTGGGGGGCCAGGAGGCTGGTCCCCAAGAGGAAGAACCTAGGTGGGAAGAGGAAGGGCGAGGAGTGAGGAGGGAGAGCTATGGAGTGAGGGGCTGGGCCCCATACCGTAGGGACATGGCTGCTTCCTATGCTCAGAAGTGAGTGGCTTCTTACGCAGGAAGTTGTCCAGGCTGGGCCCATGACGGCCCAAGGGGTCATCAGGGGGCATGAACCTACAGAGGGAGAAAAGAACTCTCAGAAGGTGTGAGACACCCAGAACTGTTCTCTTGGTGGGTCACCCCCAAGAAAGGAGAGGGGAATCCCTTGGTCCACAGGGCCACTTTTTTTTTGTTGTTGCAGTTTGGCCAGGCCAGGTTCGAACCCACCACCCTTGGTATATGGGGCTGGCACCCTACCCAACAAGCCACAGGTGCCGCCCTCACAGGGTCACTTTTTTTGTTTTTATTTTTTTGAGAGAGTCTAACTCTGTTACCCAGGCTACAGTGCTATGGCATCAGCCCAGCTCACAATAATCTCAAACTGCTGGGTTTAAAGCCATCCTCCTGCCTCGGCCTCCCAAGTAGCTGGGACTAAAAGTGGCCACCACAATGCCTATTTTTTTCTATTTTTACTGGAGATAGGCTCTCACTTTTGCTCAGGCTGGTCTTGAAGTCCTGAGCTCAAGGGATCCTCTCACTGGGGCCTCGCAGAGTACTGGGATTACAGGTGTGAGCCACCACACCTGGCCAGCCCATGGGCACATTTGGAGACATCCTTTCTGAGGCTGTGGAGAAGCCAGCAGCCTGAGTCTCTAAATCTAGGGCTGTATTCTCTGTTCCATGGCTTCTGGTTGGGAGATGTGGTGCTGGGACCAGGCATAGTGGCTCACACCTGTAATTCTAGCATTTTGGAAGGCCAAGGCAGAACTGCTTCAGCCCAGGAATTCAAGACCAGCCTAAGCAACACAGTGGGACTCTGGCTCTACAAAAATAAAAAAAATTAGCCAGATGTGGAGGCATGTCCCAGCTACTTGGAAGGGTGAGGCAGGAGGATCACTTGAGCTAAGATCAAGGTTAGTAGTGAGCTGTGATCATGCCACTGCTCCCCAGCCTGGGTAATAGTGCAAGAGCTTGACTCAAAAAACAAAACAAAAAAATTTATATATATATATATGGTACTGAGAACAAGAAAAGACTTTCCTAGAGCTACTGACCACATCCCCTCACAAATGCTACTGCTGCATACCCTAAATCAAAAAGTACCATCCCCCCAGCTTGCCTGGTCCCAGCCTGATCTGTCATGCAGAGAACTGTCTATCTCGCTCCCACAGCTGGCTGGAGCCATGACTGCAGCCCACACGGCCACAGGGCCCAGCAGGACCCACCTCCAAGCCTCACCCTCCGCAGGGCATCTCTGGTTGGCCATTAGGGCCCCCGTCGGGAACATACTTGTCATTGACGAAGGAGTACATGAGCAGCCGCTCCTCAATGAAGCGCTTCCACTCCTGGCGCTCGCCCTGGAGGTCACGGTATGTGTCGTTGGAGACCACGATCCCGTCAGACTCGAAGGCCAGCTTCACAATGAATCTGTCATCGTAGCAAACCACTCGCTTGCCACCCACACGCCGCGATGGTGTGAACACCAGTATCTTCTTCTTCTCCAGTTCCCGCAGGATGTTCTGGTCTGGGGGGTTAAGGGGCATAGGTCAGGGCCCAACGGACCCAGAGCCATGTCTGCAGGGCTTCCTACCATCCTGGTGGCTAGGCAGAGTAGGCATAGGGCTGTTAATGCCAAGTTCACAAGGGCAGGAACCAGCACTGCTAAAGCCACTGCCACATGCCTGCCTCTTGCCTGGACCCTTGCAGTTTGGGGAACACCTGTGTGCAGGGCTACAGGGCCCCTTGAAGCAAAGGCTGCCAGCAGGAAGTTGCCCCTGCCCCTGCCTCTCCTCCCCCTCTGGACATCAGGCCTGTTTGTGCCAGAGTGGTCTTGGCTTTGGCCATTCACCCAGCCCGTCCTGTAGGGGTCCATGAATAAGCCCCAGCTTGAGCTGGAGCAGAAAGTATCTTGGCTCTGTCCCTTGTATCACCAGGACATCACTAGATCTTTTGTGGTAGGGGGCCTTTTTCCTAGAGCCCACAGCCCAACCAGGCTGCCCCCAGATTAAAAGACTTCTAGAGACATTGACTCAGTTTTTACCCCCAAAGGCTGGAGGCTCTTACAAGGACAATGGTACCAGCTAACATGTTGAATGCTTGCTCCATGCCAGGTACTCTTGTAAGCACGTACAATTATTAAATACGATTCTCACAGGAACCTTGTGAGGAAGGCACTGTTACTGACCTCCCACATCCTTCTCGTTTTACAGATGAGGAGCAAGTGGCTCAGGGCAGTGCTAACAGAGGTCCCTGCACAGGTTAAAACACCAGAAAGGGTTCCAACTCTGGCTATCTGGGTTCCAGAGCCCACAGGCTTCACCACAATGCCCCATTGCCCCTCTACTACTGATGATGCCGAGAGAATGACCTGCCCACAAGTGGGATGATGGAGTGCCCAGTAACTGAAGCAGAGGGCTGGACAAAGTGACTTCCAATGACCACTATTCAGGGCAGGGTTGCTGAGGACAGGAAATACCAGGAAAAGAATTCTGTTCTGTTCAAATTCTAGAAGTTGTTGGTCTGTCCCTCTTGGGGAGAGCCAGGGCAGCTGGGGCAGTGAGACCACCACTTCCAGAGGTGTCACTCACCTGTGATGGGCACATCGGGTCGTGGCTGTTCCTTCCTCCAGGATGGCACAAATACTGTAATGTCTGTGTGTCCTCGCTCTAGAAACCAGTTCACTGCCAGCAAGATGCCCCGGCAGGAAAAGACCTCCTTGTTTCCGTGGCTGGGAGGGAGAAGAGACAGGGTTAGCTCATACAAGCCCACCTGCTATCTGCCATCCCCCAGGCCTGAGCAGGAAGGGAGAGTGGGACCTTTGCATTTGGGGGCACAAGGCCTCCATTCCCTGAGCTGGTTCCCACAGCACCAGGATGGCCAGACCCAGCTGGGACTATTCCTTGAAGTTCCATCTCCCGAAAGTGAGGAAACACCCAGGAATCTGGCAGTACCAGCTCCCCATGGTGGAGGAGGGTCAGGCCACTTGCAACACACCTGGGGGTGGGGGAAAGGCACTGGAGACTTCTGGTTCCTGCCCCACCCGGGAGCCACTGGGACCACAGGGACGCAGATGTACACGCAGACTGAGTCACCACCCCTCCCTGGCTCACAGTGCTGTGGGTGGGGGTGGGGGTGGGGGAAGTACCAGCCTGGCTAACCGAGGAGAAACCAGATTGTTCCGGATTAAAGTTCAGTCCTTACACTAAACTCAGGGGCTGAGACCTGAGGAAGGCAAAGAAGACCTCATTGGATTCCCACCTTCAACACATGACAGGAAGCCTTTTAGTTCGAAAGTGAAAGGACATGGCTTTTCCTCCCAAGACAGCCAATTCTCCAAAACGCCTGGACCAGCCCTGACTTCCCTTCACCCGCCTCTTCATTTCAAGACAGGAAGATACCAGGGGACTCTGTTAGCAAGGACAGCCTCTGAGAGAGGGGACAGCTTCCCTGCCTTGGTCCGAGGACCATCCAAAGAGGGAAGCCCCGAGGTGCTCCTGTGGCTTTTAGTTTCTCTGTCTGAAAAATGTGCCCCGCAGCCTGCAGCTTCTTCAAGAAGGGCCATGGCAATGAGAAAATTTCTTACTGGCTTAAGGCCAAAGATGGTCCAATAAAGTGGAGGTTCCAACTGGATTTCCTAGGACGGGGAAGGGGGCTGCTGAGATCAGCAGTCCCAGCCTCTCACTGCCCCTCAAAGAACAATTCAGACTCTCATATTTGGCAAATAAAACAGAATACATGTTACGCAAAAGAGGCAGGTCCAGGGCCGACCACATCCTGTGGGTGGCTTTGGTGGGGGGGGGCAGGGTGAGAGCTACAGCCCCAAGTGAAGGTAGATAGGGAGGGGGGGCCACAAAGGCTGTTTGGGGGTGAGGTTGGGCACCAAGGTCTGAAGTTCTCTGTAAATTGCAGAGGAAACAATTTACATCCCAGGTGGTGCCCCCCGCCCATCTGCTAGCCTACTCATAAAAGTTAACATTTACTGAGAGCTGGGCCCCAGGCCCTGCTCAAAGGGCCTCACACTGAACATTAACAAGCCTATGAGGCGGACTCTATCATTGTTACCCACTTTCCCCAGATGAAAGCTGTGGTCCAGAGAGGGAAACTTAGTTGCTAGGGTCACACAGCAGTAACAGTAGAGCAGAGCCTGTGCCCAGAGCCACCATGCCTGCAGATGCTCCGGCAGGTACAAAGAAAGGTAACAACTCCGACCATGAGGACAAAGTGGGAATTAGCGGGTACTGAGCGCTAACTGGAGGCCAGATACATCACCTCATCCTTACAAGGCTTAAGAAGAAAGGCTCCCTGACTCATCCAAGGTCACCTGGCCAGTGGCAAGACAGTTAGAACTTGTAACCTGGTCTGGGACCACTAGACTGTCTTCTGGTCTCTAACAGAAGACACAAGTTTATTTGGAAGGAAAATGCCTTCCAAATGGAGTTCAGACAAGTGTGTTAAGAGAGGCAGACTGGGAACAGCAGGAAGGAGAAAGCCTTCCCTGACAGCCAGGATGTCTGGTCCCTGGTCTGTATCACACCATGTCCAGTGTTCTGCCATCAAAGTGCCAGCTTCCCTGGACCTTCTGCTCTGTCTTCCCATGACGGTGGTGTACTGTCCGCCCTGGCTTGGCTCCCTGTCCCTGGTGTGCAGTCTGCACACGCGCCCGCCTGCCTGTGCACGTGTGTAGGTGCAAGTGTCCATCCTAGGCCAGCATCTTCACGGGCTGGGACCTCATGGGATGCCAGGGCTCTGAGCGCATGCACTGCTTCTGAGCATTGCAAAGTTTGGCTGGGGATGATTTTGCTCTCTAGCACCTTGAAATATTCTGTGGACAGGTAATCAGAGCCTTACTCTTGGCTGAAGTAGAACACATGAGCCTGGGAGCCTCTCTCCAGCTAGCTTTAGTTCCATTCACACCGCACTGGAGGAAACCGTGCTGGCACAGGAAAACCAGACTTCCTCCTTCCCCAAGTTCTCTTTGCCTGGAAGGTCAGGGCCCCCTCCTAGTGTGGCTAACCAAGCACTGATAGGATACAGCTGTTGCTGCCCCAGGACAGAGGGCAGGGCTGGGCCAGCCTCCCCAGGTGAAAAGATCTGCCTAGGCTGGGCCCAGCTAGTGGAGAAAAATTCCCTTAGAAGGAAATAGAGGTGAATTTCCCCACGATTTGCATATGCTGGGGGCAAGCTTGCCTGCCCTTGCGAGGAGGGGGTGGCAGGGCAGGAACTGAACAGCAGTTGAGACAGGAAGTTTGAGGCTGGAATTCCCCTCCTGCTACTGCCCCAAGCTCACTCAAAGCTCCCCCCTACCCCGCCCTCCTTGAGCCAGCTCCTCTGAGCACCTTGCTCCACCAGCACCCCTCCTCCCAGGCCCCTCCTCCTCCTGCCGGGAGACAAACACACACAGCACATGGCTGCTCCTAGGGCTCAGCTACTCCTGGCCCACGCCCCCCGCTCCCCAGAGAAAGGTGTTAAAGATCCTGGCTCAGCCACAGGAGGCTGGAGCCTGAGAGAGGTCCCCTAACTCTCCAAGCACAGCCTGTGACCCACTGTCCCCCAGCCTAGGAGCCAGCTTTTCTCAGCCTCCTACCCAGGCTTTGCCCAAGTCAAAGGAAGGGGGCCCACTTACATAGCTAACTTGCCCCAGCTGGGCCAGGGAGGGCCAAGGCTGATGTTATACCAGCTTTAGGCAGACCATCCCCATGTCTGGGGTCCCCTGGTCCAGGCCAAGAGGAACTTTTCCTTTTGAGTGATCCACCCAGCCCTGACTCACCAGCCCTTCTTGGAGGGAAGTGGGAGAAAGCGGGGCCAGAGGGTGGGGCCTGGATCGAAGCGAGAAGTCTGGGTTTCCTAAGGTCAACAGCTGCCCTCTGCCCCCCCCATCATTCCCTGTGAGAGCCTGCTTGGGTGTAAGTTACTAGGGCTAAGTCCTGGCTCTGGCCCCAGGGAGCCCCCAGAGACCAGTCCAGCCCAGGCAGCTTCAGCTGAGTCAGCACGTATCCAAGTCACGGCTCACCTGAAGCCTGAGCATCAGGCCACCTGCTCACACCCACCAAGTAAAGCCAGGCTCGAGGTCACTCCTGGTCATAATTACAAAGGCTTCAATAGTGGGGCCTGATTCATGGGAGCCCAGTTCTGGGACAAGAAAGCCTCAGAAGCCCCAGCCCCTGAACAATAATAACACACATAATGATGATGACTACTGTTGACCAAGCACTTGCTACCCCTCAGGTGCTGTATGGGAGCTCCACACCACCATCACCTGAGTAGGGTGACCGACAAGCTCCTTCCTGTAGGAGTGAGCAGAAGCGTGCCTCAGGCAGAGACTCACAGCATGAGGGGAGCACCAGAGGAGAAGGACCTGGATTCAAACCCTGATACTACTTATCAGTAGCATGGCCCTGGGCACATAAGGTCTCTGAGTTTTCATCTCTAAACCATTCCTAACAAACCCCCTTCAGAAAGGTCATGCAGGGCAGAGAGTCTTCAGGATGCAGCAGTGAAGTGCTTTCCCTCCCTCCAGGCCAGTCCCTGAGAAAAGGTCACTCCTTCCCAAAGGCCCCTTGACCAGAGCTGCAGAGACATGTGGCCACCCTTCCACATCCCAGCCACAGAAGCAACACATACCTCATGGCCACATTGCTCCCGTCGATAACCACTGGCCTGAGGTCATTGCCCTCCTTGTCCTCCTCTGGGAGTGAGGGCTCCAGGGTGGGAGTCTTGGGGGTACCCCCACCCCGGGGGACCAAGGGGGGTTGGGGGCAGAGGTCCGGTGAGGCCTGGCGCTCCCGCTCAGCGGCTGACCCGTGCTTCACCAGCTCGCCCAGCACTGTGTTGGTATCTGCCTGAACTCCCAGCTTCTGCAAGGCGCTGTGGATCTCAGTGGATGAATAGCCCAGCTTCCGGAAGAAATCCACCTTCATCTGTAGCTCTGAAGCTGCTGCCTCCTCAGCAGGGCGCTCCTGGGCCCGACTGGGGGTGCCCTGACAGCTGTGGCTGTCCTCAAGTTCCCACAGACTCATGGTGGGGCTTGCTTCCTCAATGGGCCTCTCTCCACAGGGGCCGCTCATAGCTCAGACTGCTGGGAGGCACTGGTCACAGCTCCTACTGGACAACCATAGGGTTAAGGATGTGGAATGTGGCTCTCCTCAGAGGGCCACACCCAACGGGACAAGGCAAGACAACACTGACCAGTGGCACTGTACAAAGCCATCTTCCATGAGTCAATTCAGGCTGTCCTCTCAAAAGCTCTCCCACTAACTGACCATTATCATTCCCATTATATAAAGGGGGAAACTGAGGCACAGACTTTAAGAACTTGCTCAAGGTCATCCAGCTGATAGTCGTCTGAGCAGGATTTGAACTTAGGTCTGACTCCACCTTCCACCCCACCCCCGCTCTCACGACAACCCCAGGGACCCAGAGGCAGGGGCGGGGCTCTCAGATGGAAACCTGAGGTTGGGAGCGCGCTGGGGGCCGCGGGCTTCCCCAGTGAGGCCATCGCCGTCGCCCACCCGTCCCGAACTCCAGGCCCAGTAAGCGCAGGGACAGTGGCCGGACTCCTACACCAGGGGTGGGCAAGTTTCCGGGGTGACCCACGGAGGAGAAAAGTTGCCGGGAAACTCTGGTTGGCCGCCGGCGATGGTGACGCCGAGGCTGTCCCGCCCCAAGACCCGCGCTCTCTCGGCTCCTCCTCTCGACCTTGGTCCCCCTGCCCCAGCTCTCCCAACTTGGGCTAAGTTAGAGGGGGTCCCGAAGACCGGCGAAGCCCGGAGCACCATCCCACGTCTCTCTCCTCCGGTCGGACGCCGCCGGAGCCCTCTCCACCCCCTCCCCAGCCAAGAGCCAGGGCCCGCGCCCCCTCCCCGCTACGCGCCTCACCTCGCCCAGCGCCAGCTGCGGCCGGCGGCGTCTCCATGGGGCCAAGTCTTGGGGCCAGGCCGGAGACGCCTTTATACCGACCCGCGGGCTGGCAGGTGGTGTAAAGGACAGCGACGCGGAAGCAGGGCAGGGGAGGGAGGAGAGCAGGTCCTGGGAGACCGCCCCGGGGGCGGGGCGGCCACCGCCCCTTCCTGCTCCGCCTCCCTCGCCGCCCCGCCCCGCCCCGCCTCGGCCTCCGACCCCGCCCCCGCCCGGTCCGCGCAGCGCGGACTGTCCCGCCAGGAATAGGGTTAGGGGCTATAGACGCCTTGGTGGCGACCAGCTCTGGAAGGGAAGGTGAATGGCCCGTGTGAGATAAGCACCGACAGAATCGGGTACATGCACCTGCCAGGTACGGACAGATAAAACCGCGAATGTTCAGACCTTAGAAGTTGGACAAGTGCACGCTGCCTGAGGAAGGTACGATTGGGTGCACCCTGAGGGAATCAGGTACACAGAGGCTGGCCCACTAACTGTTGGAAGTGAGTCCCTAGCTATCAAGACAGGTATTAGAAACAGGCTTTTTCAGATTGAGAAAGGACCACTGAACAGATACACTGTAACTGGAACAGTTACGCAGAGGTGGGGTCACACCCAGGGTCAGATACAATTTTTCTTTTTTTGAGACAGAGTCTCACTATGTCGCCCTCGGTAGAGTGCTATGGTGTCACAGCTCAAAGCAACCTCAAACTCTTGGGCATAAGCGATTCTCTTGCCTCAGCCTCCGGAGTAGCTGGGACTACAGGCCCCCACCACAACCCCCGGCTATATTTTGGTTGCAGTTGTCATTGTTGTTCGGCAGGCCCCGGACTGAATTCGAACCCTCCAGCTTTGGTGGATGTGGGTGGCGCCCTACTCACTGAGCTACCAGCGCCAACCCAAGATACACTTTTTCTGAAATAAGTACCTTTCCAGGATAGAAAAGCAGGTTCAACCAGCATTACACCAGTCACCATATAAATGCTCACAGAAAAATAGTTAACTCACGCAAAAACTCACTTGACTCTGTCCCCATTGGAGGAAACACTCACTTGCTTCATGAGGGTGCTTTTAGTTTCCAAGTTCAGTCATGATCTTGAACATGAGCACAACACTTTACTGAATCTATCCATGTGCTTAGCTGAGGAAGTCAGAGGTCATTATGTCCATTTTACCCTTGAGAAATTCAGAAAGGGTTAAATTGCTTCAGCTAGAAGACTTGGAACCAGGACAAAGAGCTCCATTCCAGTGTACCAGGTGTGGTGTTTGCCACTTTGGAAACCACCAGTGACCCAGGGCAGAAGGGAGCTTGGCTTTGTGTATGTGTGTATGTGAGAGAGGGGGTAGGGGAGTGAAAGGGGAGTGCAGGACCCTCAGACTAGAGGCCAAATCTTTTCAATGCCATCAGAACTTACTGTGTGCCAGTCCTTTGCTTGTATCACCTCTGTCTCATCACAGGCATGGGTCCTGAAATGTAGGTGTTAGTATAATAAGAACAAAAGTGTTGCTTGTAAAAGACACCATAGACAGAACTATCCACGCACTGCTATAGAAGAATAGCAATTGGCTGGGTGTGGTGGTACTTGCCTGCAGTCCTAGCTACTCGGGAGGCTGAGGCAAGAGAATCGCCTAAGCCCAGGAGTTGGAGGTTGCTGTGAGCAGTGTAATGCCACAGCACTCTACCGAGGGTGACAAAGTGAGACTCTGTCTCTAAAAAAAATTTTTTTTCTGAATTTTAATTGTGCTGATCATTCCCTTGCTTTTCTTATAGTTTTACCAACCCTTGTATGAATGCCTAAATAGTATATTGTCTAGTTTAGCTATTTTTTTGCTTCTTTTTAATGGGATCATTCTGTAATTATATAACTTCCTTTTCCACAGTGTATAGGGGTGTGGTAGTACGTGTGTGTGTGTGTGTGTGTGTGTATATATATATATATATTTTTTTTTTTTTTTTGAGATAGAGTCTCAGTCTGTCTCACTGGGTAGAGTGCCATGACATCATCTTAGCTCACAGCAACCTCCAAACTCTTGGGCTCAAGTGATCCTATTGCCTCAGCCTCCTGAATAGCTGGGACTACAGGTGGCCACAACAATGCCCAGCTAGGTTTTCTATTTTGAGTAGAGATGGCGTCTTGCTCTTGCTCAGGTTGGTCTCTACCTCCTGAGCTCAAGCAATCCACCTGCCTTGGCCTCCAGAGTGCTAGGATTATAGGCATGAGCCACCAATGTCCAGCCACAGTGTTGTGTTACATTTTTTAAAAATCCATTTTGAGGCTCAGCGCCCATAGTTCAGTGGTTAGGGCACTGACCACATATACCAGGGAAGGCAAGTTCAAGCCTGGCCTGGGCCCGCTAAACAACAGTGACAACTACAACAAAAAAATAGTTGGACGTTGTGGTGGGCACCTGTAGTCCCAGCTACTTGGGAGGCTGAGGCAAGAGAATTGCATAAGCCCAAGAGTTTGAGGTTGCTGTGAGCTGTGATGCCACAGCACTCTACCAAGGGCAACATAATGAGACTCTATCTCAAAAAAAAAAAAAAATAGCGTTGTGGCAGGTGCCTGTAGTTTCAGCTACTTGGGAGGCTGAGGCAAGAGAATCGATTAAGCCCAAGAGTTTGAGGTTGCTGTGAGCTGTGATGCCACAGCACTCTACCCAGGGTGACAAAGTAGGTCTCAAAAAAAGAGAAAAAATCCATTTCGATTGCCTGTTTACCTGTAATATATTTATTTTACTATTGAATAATTTGTGAATATACAACTGGTTATTTATTCATTCACCTGTTGTTAGATGTTGTTTCTAGGATTTTAAAAAAACTATTAGAGTGTGTTTTGGATATACTTGTACATGCCTTAATGCATTACAGAGCTGAGGAAATGGACACTCAGATGCAGAAAGGTAAAGTCACTTGCCCAGGCTGGGGGCTGGTGGAGCTGGAATGAGCATAGCATTCTTCAAGGCCCTGCATCTCCCCATCCCCTGGGAGAGATCCCCCAGGAGTCCCAGGGGGCATGCCTTTCTAGCTGTGCGCTGAGGCTGTTTCTCTGGCGTTGCCTGGCCCGGCCTAGTCATGCTCCTGTTTTGTTGTCTATCATCTCTGAAAACTCCAAAGTGTCCCCTTCTCTGTGTTCCCCTCTTCCCTGGTACAGTAGCACCAGGGCTGGCAGCCTGAAGAGAGGGGGAACACAGGTCCCCTACCTGAATGCCAGCTCACACACCTGCTGGGCACCTCCCACTGGACAGTCGCTCCAGCTGAGCACTGTGCAGGCTGCGGCCCAAATCCCACAACAGCTCTTTTTACCACTGAGAAGAGCTCAGGCATTTGTTCACTGTAGCAGCCACTTTTTAGATAGGAAAAGTATCAAGTGACATGTCCAGGTTAATAATTATAATGATATTAATCGTGAAGCTCAGACATAAGGTCTCACATTGATAGAGTGCTAGCCAGCGCCTTACAAACACATCGGTCTCTGCTGACTTCTTCCTCGCCCAGGAGTGCCCTCTGCCCCCTCCCATCCCACAGCTGCCTGGCCAACTCCATTCATCTTTTTGATGATGTCACCGCCCCTGTGAGGCCTGCCCTGCCTCCTTCAATGCTGGGTTTCTCCTCCTCATGCTGCCACAGCATCCTGCCTAGGTCCCTATTATCCTGGGACCTCCTCTGGGGCTGGCTCTGAGCTGGGACTCCGCCCTTACTCCCAGGCCCCTTGCTGCCCAGCACTGGGCCAAGTGGAGCCAGCAGGACGGGGGATGAGTCACGCTGTGCCCTGCCCTCCTAGAGTGAGCCGCAGTCTCACTGTCTTCCGGTTCTTGAAGTCGGCTTCTTCCTGAGAAGCTGACTCTCTTCTGCAGAACCCAGGGCTTCTCCGGGGAACCCCTGCTCCACTTAACAGCTGGATTTTGCAAACCTTGGCCCCAATCCCCAGGAGCCCTCTGGTGCTGAGCCCACGCACCTCCTCTGCCTCTTGCATGCCTGTCTTGGAATCTGGGCTGCAAACTTCCTTCCCAGAATCTGCCAGCTTTCCCACCATCTACCGGCCAGCCTGGGTGAGGTCTGCAAAGCTCCTGTACTGGTCACCCCCTGTGGACAGGAAGGACAGCTGGAGAGGGAAAGGTCTCAGGAATGACCTTGGCCTTCAGTTGCTTCATTGGGCACCTCAGTCTCAGGAGGATCTTTCTTCTATAGGAAGACTGGGTAGACTGGCCCCAAGCTTAGCAGAGTGATTGCATGGGTGGTGTTCACCTTCATCAAGGGATCCTGGAACTAGAGAAAGGATGAGGTGTTTTTTAAAAAGCCTTGTCACAGCAGGGCTACAAAAATCGACATAGTTTTAAACGGTCTCTAAACAAATTAACTCCTTTTTTTTTTATCACGAACTCAAATGCAGCATAATATATTTGGACTATTGACAAGTTAATTGGAGAACTTATTTTAAAAATACATTATTTCCTTGGAGAAATGGCTGATTCTCCAAGGGCTGGGACAGGGAAAAGATGAGCCTGGGGCATCTCTTGGTGCTGAGAGCTAGGTAGGGCTCAAAACACAAAAAGATGAGGTCACGCCCAAGAGACGGAGAGCCAAAAGAGATCCCAGTGGCCGGAACTGGAAGAGTTTGAGCAAGGGAATAAATAATAGGGTGGTATTGGATTATAATGCAAAGTGTAAAATAAATATTTATACTGGTATAAATCTTTGAATAAATAACTAACGGGGGCGGGACGGGGGAGAGAAGAGGCAAGTCTTCCTTACAGAAGAATTCCCGGTCATGAGCATAGATCATCCTCCTTCTGCGAGGTGGAGCTTGGTTAACCCCTCCTCTTCCCTTGTGTGTGCACTGGACTCAGGTCTCCCTTGAATAATAGAGGAGGGAAAGAGAAAAATAGTAACTTTACAGTGGAGAAACCTGGCAGACACTACCTTAACCCAGGGATCAAGGTTAACATCACCAGTGATATGTCAAGTGGATATCATGTACTGCCCCCTCCACCCCCTCTGATATTGTGTGACCAGAAGGGCACTTGACCTATATGGGATTCTTTCTAAAAACCCATAACCCCAGAGACATCAG